TAAATGTATAAATAAAATAATATACAATATAGTGTTAGCAACAGTAAATCGAAATTAAAATCAGAAGTCTTATATAGTATGGTGTTTCGAAACTAAATACGTTCTCAGACTTTGATCAGACTTTTTGTCAAAATCCTCAGTTTTGGAAAAATCCAAGTCTATTTTTTTGTCGTTTTTTAAATAAAATTTTTGAAATATATATTTTTATATAAAAAATTTAATATTAAATTAAAGAGTTTTTTAAAAAAGTTTTTTTTTTTGACTTCTCGTAGGATGAGTTGTAGTAATTGCAAAAAAATCGAAAAAACAATTTTTGCATATCTTTGTCTTTGGCAGGTCCAGCCAGTTTGGAGATACGGAGCAAAAAGTGAAAAAAACAACCATTTTTGAAAGAATTAGGCATTCGATTTGAATAATTCAAACAGCATTCGATTCGTATTAATGGGAACACGTGCTAATTAGTTTTTGGTAAAGACAGACACAGTCGTTTCGAAAATACGGTAAAAGAGCAAAAATATCAGTTCTTGAATAAACGGAGTATCCGATTAGAATGATTCAATAAATTTTTTACTTGCGTTGAGAGTGTGAAGAACTGATTATTTGGCAAACGTAGTAGGTGCAGCGGTTTCGGAGATGAAAAAAATGTTGAGGTTATCATTTGATAGTCAAAAATGGTCATTTTGGAGACATCATATTATCAGTTATTTCATATTATATTAGATCTATGAAAAACCAACGATGAGATTCACAGATTTTATAATAATTATTTGAAATATTTGAAGCAATTATTATTAATCATTGACCAATTTTAATTGATTTTTGATGATTTTTATTCCTAGAATGTTTAATTACGGTACCAAAAGTTCCAGCAATTTGCTGTAAGGCATAATGCCTTGCACCACTAGTTCTCATTCCTGGCAAGATGAATGTTTACCAAATCTTTAAAGAAGTAAGTGGTCGTGATACAACTACAAAAAAATAAGATTGATTTATATCTGTCCTATGAGAAGTACAAAATTTAAAATAATATCTTACGCATCAAAATCTCGTAACAATTATTGAAATCAACCTTGATACGTAACAACTGAACATGAAACATGAACAAGTTTTACTATTAACTCTGCGTGATTTAATCTTTTGATAGTCGCATAATATTCTTCTAACCAGTCATCTAGATTTTCTTTCGATTTTTATGAGTTGCACAATCATAAAATAAGACGGCATAATTACAAATGATGGATCAAATTGAAGGAATTATATAAATTGTCAGGAAAAGTGTCTATTTCTTTAATTACATGGAAATTTCTCTTCTAATAAAACAGAATTACACAGCTTATTTCCATCAATAGCATTATACGATATTTAAAACAATAATAATCCAGAAGTATGTTGAAATATAAATGATGTTAAACCATTAGCTAATAAATTATTTATAATTTTTAATATAAAGAACCGAATAAAAGTTATCTAGAAAAAATAAATTATATATTTGTTAATAGTCATATCACTATCTGTCCGAGTAAAGTTATCTAATAAGTAAAAATAAATGATTAAATTATTATTAGAAATATTTTGTACATAAGCGCATACAAAATTATATATTCTTATATATAAAATTCTTCTGTACTGGTGTATGATTTGAAATGCTTCTAAATGGTTATTCTGATTTTGATAATTCTTTTTAGAGTTTGTCAAAAGAAATTTTCAAGATTTAATGAACGATAAAACTGTAGTAATATTGTAGAAATAGATGGCAAAAATTACAAAAAAAAACACTTATCATTGTTTGACATTAAAAACATTTGAATTGTCATCTGCTAGAAATGTCAATTAACGTGAAATTTGAATTTAGCTGAAATTATGAGCCTAGACAATATTAGAATATAATTGTAATTGTAACAATTAGAATGTAAATGTAACATTATTATTGCCGAAAAGCAGCTGAGATGCGCCAGAAATTAAAATAATATAAAATACAGTCAACAGTATATGATGTTTGGCAGATAAAATTTATAACTCAATTTGATAAATAACGCAATAAGTCCAAAATTGCTTATACATTATTTTCATATATTTATATGTGACAACATATTTATTTATATTGACTGATGTCCTGAGAAAATAATCTATACAACGGCATTAAAATCTACTATAATATCTTGGATCATAAAAATATATAATAAACACTCAATATGAAATATATCTGGAAAAATGTAGATTATAGCTGTACAAAGATTATCAATAACTATCGATCGATTCAGGCATGCTTAATGTCTACTTCTTCTCAGATTAATAAAATGATTCAGAATTTTATTCTCCGTTAAAAACAACTTAAGAAACGGTTTATCTTAGGATTGATGTTCGTTCAGAGCATTAAAAGAATATATTTCCGCTAGATGTATTTAATAATCAGTTTACACTTATCAGAAATATTGAGTTTTAATGTTATTTTCAATACAATAATTATTAAAGAATATCTATACAATAAAGCGCTTGCTAATATCCAAATTACTCGATAATAAGCTGATATTTTATAGTATTTGGAGAGAATAATTTGTTCTACCAACTGCAGTTTCAAAAATTTGTAATACATAGGTATTTACAATAACTCTTTAAATTAGAACAATTGAAAAATCTATTAATTGATGATGGATTAAATTAAATGAACATACTCATAATTAATTTCATCATAAGCCATGAGAGTCAGACATTGACCTATGGTGTTTTTATACCTTAAGAAGCAAGGCTAATAAACAAGTATTAAATTGAATTTCATATTTCATTACATAAATCTAATTAAAAAGATAATTACTGTTGTCTTAGTAGTGGCAATATAATTATCTTAACATTATTATATTTGCATGATTGTAGAAAAATGATCTTTTCAAAAATAGTCAATTTTCGCAAGTCGATATTTAAATATAAATAAAACAAAATCCGAATTGCGAAATGCTTCATTGGCCAAAAAATTTTGACCCTTATATGATTTCTGTCTATATGGTAAACTAGTATAAATCTTAACCTACACCAAATACAGTCAATTTTATTATTCAATTTAGGTAGTTTTCTCTTTCAGTAACATTGTAAACAATTTATTAAGCCAATTGTATTTCTATTCTGATCTCCATTAAATTGTCATTTGTATTAAAAACAACCTGATTGTTATATTTCCTATACTTCGTGTACATTATAAAATTCAATGTAGAAAGTTGTGACTTATATATTTTATGAACACAATGAAAAAGAATTAATCTATGAAATATTAGCTGCACGCATAGGAAAGTTTGCACACAATGTATGTTTAAGTGGAGCCGTGATAAAATGATTATAAAGAGTTGTAAATGCGAGAAAAATTAGATCATTATAGAGTTACTACAAAATCACGAATAAATCAAAAATTTAAATGAGAAATTTAAATTTTAGTATCAAGGGCCCGAGAACTAAAAGGATTGGTAAGAAGAAGAATGCAGATGGTTGGATGAAACTGAAAGCTGAAGCACAGGGGACCAGGATTCATGGAAGCAGAAGTTTGGTAAGGAAAATGCATAAAAATTTATAAAAAAGTGAATAAAGGTAATAAAATGGTAATAGGAATAATAGACAAGGAAGGGGAATAAAATTGTGGTGCTCTCACACCACGGCTGGACCTGCCTTCGAGCAAACTACTATTTTTAACTTCCCGTAAGGTAAGTTATTGTAATCGTCCAAAAATCGAAATTGATAATTTTTGAATTTCTCGACGTTTTGAAGGTTTCTGAACATTTTGGCATACCTCAGAAAAAATGAATGTGTGTGTGTTTTGTGTGTCCAAATTTTTTCGTTCACGTTTTCGGGCGCACGGATCAACCGATTTGAATGGTTCAAAAAACATTCGATTCCTATTGATAGGGAGATGTGCTGATTAGTTTTTGGTAAAGGCACGCCCAGCAGTTACGGAGATAAAGAGCAAAGAGTGCAGAATGGAGCATCCGATTTGAATGATCTAAAAAAATCAATTAAGTAATGATTGGGAGAAGTGGTTATCAGTTTTTAGCAAAGGCAGGCCTGGCCAATTCGAAGATACAGAGCTAAATGTGCAAAAAATAGCAGTTTTTGAGAGAACTAAACGTCCGTTTTAAATGATTCAAAGAACGTTCTGCTTGTTTTAACAAAATAATTGATTTTGGAAAAAAAATGTTTCAAAATTTAATTTTTTTTTTCAAAACTATGCCATACACCTCACTAGTTTATTATTAGAATTATCGAGTGGTTCTGAGTTTATAATAGCAATTCGTATATCCATAAATTGTCTTTGTATCAAATATAGAAAGATTATCAATATTTGTTCAAAAAAAATAGTGTTTAAGTCCTTAAAATTCATTGTTTATAATCGTCATTAGATGGATTCAACGGAGAAAACTTTTATCTTACATAAAAAAATTATGAAAACAAAAATTATAATCCTACATATCCAGTAATTATAAGCCTATATAAATAAACGAAAAATAAAACATTCTAATTAAAGACATTTCTTGCTATAATGAATTATGTGACTTTCAAGTCACTGCGGCTTATGATTTTCGAACTTCTGTATATGAAAACGTTATTATAGATTAAAAAACCTAGCAAAGGTCATAAATATTGATATTGGTAATGTTGATATTTATAGAATTGAGATTTATACATAAACTCACAAAAAGGCATAATTATTTGGTAAAGTATAGACAACTTAGAAATGTGACCAGCTCTATGGAGTTGGTCCCTAAGAATTACAAGAAATATAATAGCTGTAGATACCTTTAATTAATTTTAATACAGTTTTTGATTACGTGAATTAATAAGGAATGTGATATATTAAAATAAAAGCAATAAAATCAACCAACTAACCAAAAGCTTTTGACACTTTCAAAACAATCAACAAAAAAATCCATCGATCTAAAAATCCCCACGTTGTTTATTGGATTTTTTCATTGAGTCATATGGTCTATCATTAAAATAAATCATCTGAACAATCGACTCACCTCCATTGACGCTAGTCTCCTGCGTGCATTTCTGCTGCTCCTTAATCGGCCTCCTCCTAACTCTGGTCCCTGATTCCCAGTCGGCGGTTCTACTTTGATGCGAAAGGTGTCCGTTGGTGGTCCCTGAAACACCGACACCGGGTGCCATCCCATGGTGATGCAAGTGGTGATGACCGTTGGCGGTCGCCAACGTGGAGGAGGACGCCGAGGAGTTCGCTGAATTAGCAGCTGACATCCTGGAACGAAGATTGGGGAACGTCTCGATGACGAGATCGCGGAATTCGAGCAGCGCACCGACTTCATTCTGCAGTTCCTGAAATTGATGTAAATGAAATTAATATTAAGGTATATAGAAACAGAACTTATAGCCTTTGACAAGACATTTTGTTCCAGAATTAAATAAAGTACACATTTCAAAGCACGTGTACATATTTACAATAATTATTCTATAAAAATTAAACTTATAGAAATGTTGTCTGCCATTTGGTAGATTGTCTATTAAATTTTAATATCTCAAAATTTCAAAGCTTTGCCAAATATTCTTAAATAGATCCCACCGCCTTTTATTGGATATTATCTGCGAAGTTAACATATTTCCATTGTGATTCCTACTCTATAAACATGAATAATATTACCTTTCTTATATAATTTAAAAAAGACGAATAACTAGGCAGAACTATAATATAGTTGTTTGTTCATAATTAGTACATTTTTGACATTATTAGATTAAAAAACAATAAAAGTAGTGGTGTATGGCATCAAGCCTTAGGGCAAATTGCTGAAACTTCCCGTAACGTAACGAAATGTTCGAGAAATATTAAATGTTTTCAAATAGATTATTATAAATACTGTAAAATTTTCTAATATTCATAAGAAATATTTAAGATCATTTAATTAAAGTATCATTTATTTATGTAATTTTTAGAACTTAGAAAGAATTAAAATTAAAATCTGAATTAATTTCGATATACAAAAAAAAAAAAAAATTTTTTTTCCCGAAGCAGTTGTTTTGCTAACACAAGCAGAAAGTTTTTAAACCATTCAAATCGGATGCTCCTTCTCTCAAGAACTGCCATTTTTTTACATTTAGCTATGTATTTTCGAAATGGCCGGACCTGCCTTTGCCAAAAACTAGTAACCACTTCTCCTAATCATTATAAATTGAATATTTTTTGGATCATTAAATTCGGATACTCCGTCTCAAAAACTCGATTTCTATGCCAAAAACTAATCAGCACATCTCTCTATCAATAGGAATCGAATTATGAACATTATTTTGATCTATGTTTTCAAAAAGAAATGGACATCGCTGAGCGTGATTGGAACTCACGACCCCGTCTGCTTGTTCGTGCGCTTGACGCCATGGATTACTCAAATAAATATATAGAAGTATGATTTCATATTTCTGAAGCTATTGAAAATGTAAAAGACATAGCTTAAAATGAGATTTTCACAGAACTAAAAAAAGATAATACTAATTGGCAATAATTGCTTTATAAAAATTAAAAAATTACGTTCAAGTATTACGTAAGCAGATTTATTACAATTATTTACCCCCTCCCCATCCCCCTTGTCAGCAAAAGTAAGCAAAGCTCTTACCCCCTACCCCCATGCTTACGCGAACATTTTGAAATTAATGTAAAAAAATAAAAATACTACCTATGACGTAATCATCATCCAGACTCCCCTGCCCCCATGTCAACCCAAAATAAGCAGATCAACAACCCCCCTGCCCCCCTATAGTGCTTACGTAATACTTGAACGGCCCCAAAAGCAATTGAACTAAATTTACAAAAGAATTTCAGTTAACCAGTTAATGGTGATTGGTGAATAAACTCGTCATGGAGCAGTGGCAAAATTTCTTTATTGACGAATATACTCGTCATAGGTATTATTTTCATATCTTCAACCATTGGCTATATAGATTGCAATACTTGCAAAAAACAAATTCAAGATATTTAGAATATTTTGAAGCTATGATAATATGAAATAGCTGTAAAGTGGCACTTTACTTCATAACAAAATTTTCCATTGATTCTGGCAAATAGGCAGTCTGTTCCATGCGGGCGACACAGTTAACTGGTTAAATAAAATGGATGTGCCGGTTGAAAAAATCGCTTAAAATCGAAATGAAAAGATGATACAATCACAAAAACTAATCAGTCTCAACATTCACTTATAAAGCAAATCAAATTTTGATAATGGTATGTCAATGCTTAATTTATTATTATAGAAAGCGATTCAAAATCTATAAAATAGTTTAATTAAAAGAAAGCGTGTTGATAGTTATTGATGAATCTTCACTTCTAATGATCTTAAAACTTCATTAGAAGACGTAATGATATTTTATCTGTTATATCATTCGACGTGAATAATATAATATATAGGAATTTGAAATATGAAATATATGAAGAGAGAAAGTACTTTACTATTTTTTTTATCACGAAAATATAATGCACAAGTTTATATTAAAACAGCGTAATGATTTTAATTTTTTCTGGGATATATATGTATATAATGAAATGAAATAAAATATAAGCATATTTATAAAATTATAGTTTAATTTGATAATTTAATATCATTAGATTAAATAAGCAACGCGCGATTTGCTTGGGATTTCGTGCAAATATATATGTTTGTGATAAAAATGCGGATGTTTTACAATATAATCACAGATTAGTCACGTATATCATAGAACATTTCATGATATTATTCCAGCAAGATATACTATCTTCTGATATTAAATGAAAGCAATTTAAGTGTAAGCTGGCTCATACTCATTCGGATAATCATTACAAATTGACATTATCATCAATTACAAATAATTGTTGTTATAATAAATAAGCAGAAAATAATTAAATTTGAAGGTCATAATACATGATACAGGAAACAAAAAAAGGTCCATTGCACTTAAAAATATTAAATATGCAATATCAACTAAAATTTTAATTTTGGGTCCTATTTAATTGACCGAGTCGGATACACCCACTAATTGACCTCATAATGTAAATGAGAATTTTCATGGTTCTTTTAAATTATATATTCTTAACATAATAAATATACACATAAAAATAGACATTATTCTAAATTACAAAATCGTTGTGCAAAATATAGTTATACATAATTAATTATAAATCAAAATCATAGATTCATATCAAATTTATAAAGTATTTTTTCTAACATCCGCGTATTGACTGAATATTTTAACAAATATTTAAATAAACAATAAAAAATAATAGCAAAAATATAGTTATAAGGTGAAACAGTGGATGAATTAATTAATGTGTTGTTAATATGGCCAATTATAAAAAAAAGACAAAATTAAATTTTCAGAAAATGATTTGCTAAAATTCGCTTCGAATAATGTCGAAACAAATCTTCATTTGACTACTAAAACTGATGAAAGGACATTGCGTACAATTTGAAACTCTAGGCCGATACGGTCCAAAAATAAGTGAAAATTGATCACCACAAAACTGCCAAAACTATTTATAATACACGATTCAGACACATCTTTCGATAATAATTCAGCCAGTCAAGCATTTTCAGATAGTAACTTTAGATGTTTAAAAAATTGAATTACTCAAAATACTATTGTAGTAAAATGCTTATGATTAGAACAAGAATTAAAAACTTCTACCAATCTGAAATTACAGATTGTTGCCAACAACCTTGTGTCTTTTCCATTATAATTGGAAAGGTTTTTATAAATTTATATTTGCAATGATACTCGAGTATAATAATTAATAAATTATACTTATTTATTTGCTTTAATATCTACTGTTTTCGTTAGTAAAGTAGGTTTATCAAATTCACACCTAAACCAAAAACTATTTATAATTTATTGACATTTTTTGTTTTTAATGCATACTTGTTCTATGTAGGTTCTGCAGTTTTTCTCACAATTCTCTTTAATAATCCATCAATTTGGATCAAAACTATTTTTAGATAATTAGAAGTTTCATCCCCGAATTTATAAACATACAATTGTTCAGACGTATTTTCGTTTTATTATATTGGCCATGAAGGTGACAACCTTCAGGGCATTAAGCTTTACACGAAATGGTTGCTACCACTGGTAGATGGGGTAGCGAAATGTTTTAATTGAACTAATTGTTCACTTTTAAAAATAAAGTCCGCTTAACAACATGTATAATAAATAACGTATGAATATATCTTCTTTCATTATAACTTAGTAACAAATCAGTGATTGTAATTAGAACTGCAATAAATACATAATATACAACAAATCTATGTTTAAAACAGTCCACAGCTACAAGGGTTAAATTATAACCGAACAACCTGAGTTATCGAAGGAGAGTTTACATAAATTCTATAACTATGTAACACATAAATACAACAATATCAAAAAAGGGTTTTGGTTTTATATTCTATTACACAAAGTTCTGTGAAATTTACTTACAACTATTATGTTAATTTGCACGTAAGAATTGCTTGTTGCACATCGTTCTCGAGGGGTATTCTGGCATTTATACACTATTAGATATTAAATTCATCATATGATTTTTTATCTATATAAACTTTAGTGTTTATTATCAAATATTGCCATGCAAATGACACGTAATGATAAACTTTATGTAAAAACATTTTGAAAAATGCTATACTCAAATTATAATATTTTAAGTACTACTTATTCAAATTATTTGAGAAATCACAATTATCGTTTTGTGCTGTGTGCTGATCTCTGTTTTGAAAGTTAATCAAAAAAGTACAAACTATGCTTTCATAGCTGCCAAAACTTCACAAAATGTCTTTTCAGACATTTTTCAATATAGGTCGGGATTCCTTCAAATTCAAAACTCATGGAATGCTTCAGTTTTATCGCCAGTAATTGAACAGGTATTATATTCCCAAGAATGTTCATACTTTCAATGCTCATTACATTATGTCATATAGTATGTGTACTAATCGAGCATGTGACAAAATAACGAAATAACCGCGACAAAGCATAAAAACTTTCCCAGTTTCGCAATACAAACAATGAACACAAATTCAAGTCAGAGTCATTCATAATAATAAAGTAAAATTATTTGATTTCAAAGTTGCTTCTAGTGCATGACGCTTGCGTTAAATTGACATGAAGACAAACATTTAAAGAAATAACAAAAATGAAAAAAAAAAAATGTATAAAAACAACTGAAGTGTACATATTTGCAAAATTTAATACAAAATAAACTTTAAACTTTTATTTCATATAATAAATCAAAACCAATAGAGTACATCGAGGTTTAAAGGTCGGCTGGTAAAAAGGTCGACCACCGATATCACAAATGAAGTTAGGATTTTTTTAAA